CCCCCACCTCCCACCCATGTCTCTCGCAGTGCGTGGACAACATCCGCTGCAACGGCCTGATGATGAACGCCTTCGAAGAGAACTCCAAGGTCACTGTGCCCCAGATGATCAAGTGAGTGCAGAGAGGGCTGGGACACAGCTCCTGTGGCAGCCAAACACTGCCAGGAGCCCTGGGACCTCCATGGCCTCCCCATGTGTTCCATAGGAGCACTAACAACTGAGGGATTTGTGTGGGATGTGCTCAGGGAGGTGGGAATGGCAAAGGGGAGAGATCAGAGAACAATAGTGATGGGAAAGGGGGGGTAAAAGCACCAGAATGGGAGGGGTGTCATCTCTGGAGGTTCTGGGGATCAAGGGCTGCCCTGGTCTGTGGTGGGACCCGTGTGGCATGAGGGGGGCTGGTCCCAGCAGCTCAGGGGGGTCCCTGCCATGTCAGCTGCCCTCTGTACTGCCAGGCCTGGGAAAGGGGCTTGTTTTGTGTGCACCCAGGATTGGTCTGTCCATATGCCTCTGCCTGCTGAGCAGTCTGCAGTGTTCCCACCCATTCTGGGCTGTGGGTTTCCCCTGGGAGCATTCCTGGCTGTGTTTTCCATGGGGACACCCTGTGCTACTGAGGCTCCTTCCTGCGCCGCTTTCCATGGTCTCTTGGTTTTGTTCCAGGCTGGAACCATAGATATCTTGTTTCTCTGCAGGTCTGATGCCAGCTTGTATTGTGATGATGTTGACATTAGGTTCAGTAAAACGATGAATTCCTGCAAGGTCCTGCAGATCCGCTATGCCAGCGTGGAGCGGCTGCTGGAGAGGCTGACGGACCTGCGCTTCCTGAGCATTGACTTCCTCAACACCTTCCTGCACTCCTACCGGGTCTTCACCACCGCCCTCGTCGTCCTTGACAAGCTCATCACCATCTACAAGAAGCCAATCAGTGCCATCCCTGCACGGTGAGGCCACGGGGGCACTGCTGTGGTGCTGCCCTGGGACCTGCCCTGTCCCTGGAGGGTTGATGGGGTCTATGGGAGGACTGACACTGCTCCTCATCCCCTTTCTGTCCTCAGTCTCTCTTGGTGGGGTCTGTGGGGGTTCTGCCACTGCCTCTTGTCCCCTCTCTGTCCCCTTTCTCTGTGTCCCAGGCCTGGCTGGCTCTGGTGCTGCCCTGGGACCTGTTCTGTCCCTGGAGGGGTGATGGGTTCTATGGGGGGACTACCACTGCTCCACGTCCCTTCTCTGTCCCCACTCAGTCTCTCTGCCCCAGCCCTAACTGGCCCTGGTGCCACCCTGGGGCTGTGTCACCTGCTCCCTGTGAGCTGTGATACCCCCAGACTGGGAAAGGCAGTGAACCTGAGCTCTTCAGGTTTCCCCACTCCTGGGAGGGCCAAGCAGTGAGAGTGGGGCAGGGAGCTTGTACTGGCTCTGCAGTGCCCTGGGGTCGCAGCGCTGTAGTGGGGAATCCCCACAACCCCCTGGACAGAGTAGGTGTGAACTCAGCTCTTCCCTGTCTCTTCTCCAAGGTCCCTGGAGCTCCTGTTTGCAAACAGCCAGAACAACAAGCTGCTGTATGGGGAGCCCCCCAAGTCCCCCAGAGCCAACCGCAAGTTCTCCTCACCCCCTCCGCTCTCCATCACCAAGTCCTCATCCCCCAGCCGCCGGAGGAAGCTGTCCCTCAACATCCCCATAATCACGGGGGGGAAGGCGCTGGACCTGGCGGCGCTCAGCTGCTCCTCCAATGGCTATGCCAGCATGTACTCTTCCATGGCTCCCTTCAGTAAGACCACCCTGGACATCAACAAACTGTACGTGTCCGGTAGCTACCCCAATAAAATCACTGATGAAGGAGAAGCATCCTCAGAAAAGCAAGAGGAGTCGCTGTCAGGCAAGCAAAGTGAGTCCCTGTAGGTTTGTGGGGCCCTGTGGGTTTGCGGGTGGGGGGCTCTGTCCCAGAGGGGCCAGTTTGGGTGCATGTACAGAGAGGTCACTGAAAACTCAGTTATTTGTAATAACAAAACCAAAGAAATCACGAAAGTGCCACCCCACCTCAAAGAACACATCCCAAAAGCCCCCAGAGTAACCACAGGGCGCCGTACCTTTCATGTGTGTGCTGTCTGGAATGGGTCAGAATTTAGGAACACCTGGAAGAGCTAAAATGCAGCTGCAGTTGTGTCAGGTGTGAAGTTAAAGGGGTTCCCTGCTCCTCCCAGGCTCAGATGTGTCTGTCAGGGAAGAGTCGGACATGGATCCCAACCACAGTGATGAAGCAGAAACTGAAACTTCTCCAACGAAATCTCCGACGACTCCCAAGTCCATCAAGTGCAAAAATTCATCAGGTAACAAGTGATCCAAGTCCTGCCCCAACCCGGGGGTGCCTGTGTGCTGGGGGCTGGCAAGCGGGAGGACGTGTCTGGGCTGTGACAGTGCCTGCAGTGGTGTTGGGTTTGTTCTGCCCCAGATTTCTCGCTCTTTTCCTACAACAACGGGGTGGTCATGACATCCTGCCGCGACCTCGACAGCACCCGCAGCGCCCTGTCCGCCACCTCCGCCTTCGCCATTGCCACGGCGGGGGCCAACGAGGGCACCCCCACCAAGGAGAAGTACCGCAGGATGTCCCTCGCCAGCGCAGGTACCCACCCTCCAAGAGAGCCAGGATGTGTTTTTGGGGTGCCCATTTCCACTGTTCCCAGCTGGGTTTCCCTTCAGGACCACCCTGGCTGGGAGCAGCCCCTGTTTGGGGAGCCTAGAGCCCTCGCAGCCCAGTGCCCACTTGCTCTGGGCTATGTCCCAGCTGCCTCCTAACAGAGCAGCTCAGGGGTGCTTGGGAAGGGAGGTGCTCCTTCTGACAGCCCTACAGCAGCATGAGCTGTTCCTGAGGGAGCTGTGCTGTGCTGAGGGTCCTCTGGCAGTTTCAGGCTTCCCGACAGACCAGCGGAACGGAGACAAGGAGTTCGTGATCCGGAGAGCAGCCACCAACCGCGTCCTCAATGTGCTGCGGCACTGGGTCTCCAAACACTCGCAGGTGGGTTGTGGGGGCTCCCTCTCTCCCTGGTTCCCTGCTGGCAGGAATTTGCCTGCGTTCTGGCTGGCTCACCAGGCCCCAGCTTGGAAGGCAATTTGGCACTTCTGTTTTAATAAAGCAAATGAAAGGCTGAGAGGAGGAGTGGGGAGCAGGGAGCTGATGGGGGAACAGGCATGGGATCCCAGTGTTTGCACAGCTAGGGGGAGGAGGTGGGGAGCCAGATCTTCTGTCACCCCTGGCTGGACATGGGGGAAGGGGAGTCGCTGGGTTTGGTGCCTGTTGAGGGGCTGAGGCTGGGGACAGGGTTAGGGCAGTGGGTGCTTTCCCTGCTGTCCCTGTCCTTCCCTGTGCTGGTTGCTGGGGGCACTGGGAGCAGTGCTGTACTGGTTGTCACTGGGAAGCCCCGTGGCTCTCCCAAGCTGGGTGATGAGCCCAGTCAGTGCCTTCCTGGCAGGTTTCTGTTTGCTGGGATTTTGCTGGGAAGAGGCAGCCCCTGACCCCAGCTGAGTCTCAGCCGGGTTGGAACAGGCGGGGAGCAGCTCCCCTGGAATCGGTGTCACTCCCAGCACATTAACGCCGTGGCTGTGCTGCCCTTGGCAGGACTTCGAGACCAATGAGGAGCTGAAGTTCCGGGTGATTGGATTCCTGGAGGAGGTCATCCACGACCCTGAGCTCCTGACCCAGGAGAGGAAAGCAGCTGCCAACATCATCAGGTGAAGGGCCATGGGCTGGAGGTGGCTTTACCTGGAGGCTGTGCCAGGTGCTTGCTGTTCCCACTCTCACCTGGGATCAGAGAAGGCCGAGTGCTTCATCCACGCTAACCCCCAGAGCTGTGCTGCCCTCTTGGATCTGTGCAGGTCTTGTGCTTCCCCAGATGGAGTAACACTGTCTTTTCCTGCCATAGGACCTTGACACAGGAGGATCCAGGAGACAACCAGATAACCCTAGAGGAGGTTGTGCAGATGGTAAATACCCCTTCCTTCCCTCCCTCCCTGTGCCCAGTAGCTCTAGATGGTGGAAGGGGAACAGTCAAAGATACTGGCACACCCAGCCTGGGGGAGTGTGTGTCTCCAAGCCCAATGTCTGGGGGTGCAGCTGCAAAGTAGGG